TTATGAAATCTTTAGATACATCTGTTCTGTTGCTTTCAGTCATGAAAATGTGGCAAGTTAACTGTCAATGTCAGGCTCAGGACTGTCTTGAAAACTGCTATGCATCCCACTGAATATTGATCGGTGGAATCTCAGTGTCAGCCTCATCTGCATGAAAAGGTCTTAGATGTATGTTGCTTGTTCACTGTCAGAGTTGTCATGATGCACTCTCAAATCAGACTTTTTGCACTATTCCCTCTCTAAAATCTATCTCTAATGTGCCCTTACATGCACCATTCCATCCTCCCAATCACTTCAATGATCATTTCTGTTATCCACTTCCTTTTATCTGTTTATTCTCAGTCTACAGGTGAGAAAATGCATAAATCTTGAACAACAAAGGGAGAGTCCCCTGGCCTTCTAATATAGCATATTCTATAATCGCCTACATTTGAAAATATTCTGTATTTTCCCCATCTTTGTGGGGAGAAGTTTTTTTCAAGTTTAAATGCATATAGATATGTTATAGCAGACATTTTAGAATCCCTCCTCAAGCAACAAAATATATCCTCAAGTACTATGAAAATAATATTCTGTATAGAATCAATATGTCAGTAAGTTCTTGTTGAATTGCAGACAAAAATTCCAATTGAAGCTTGCAAAAGCAAAGGAAATTTGTTTCAAACAAGAAAAAGGTCTGGAAGAGTTTAAAGTAGTGGCACAATGAAAGATTGAATTATTTTTGAAAATAGCCTTTGTATTTTAGAATAGATTAAGATTTACTAAGAAGTTGCAAAATAACTTCCCATATTCTGACATCTGGTTACCCCATTTTTAATATTTCACATTAATATTATACATCTGTTGTATCTAACTAATATTTATACATCACTACTAACTAAATGACAGTTTAATAAAATGTCCAAGTTTATGTCTAACATTCTCTTCTGGGATAGGGGGATGGGGTGTGTGGTCAGGATCCCACATTATATGTAATAATGGTGCATCCTTGGGCATCTTTGACTGTGAATTCCTTATGCTTTCTTTGTTTTTGATGATGTGCACTCTAAGTGATTAGTAGAATATCCCTCCATTGAAATTTGTGTTATGATTTTCTTCATGATTAGTCTGGAGTTATGGGTTTATCCTTTTTCTCCACTACAAAGTTACTCTTCATCCTTCTTTCCATAGTGTAATCTCTGGAAGGAAGTCACCATGTCTATTGCACACTTATGAAATGGAGAGTTATGTTCTATACCTGGAATATGACACATCTTCAAACATCATTTGGAACTCTTTATAAGATATGTGTCAGTTCACACATAAGCTATGTGTTGATTCTCACATAGGCACTCAGATACTTGCTTTTTACATTGAGTTTTACTTCAATGCTACTTCATTTTGTTGTTCACATCATTCTAACTTTTTTTTCTTTGTACTTTTTTTTTTTTTTTTGGAGCTCTTTGAGTTAGCTCCTCCGAGGATGGTTACTTAAAAAAAAAAAAAAGTCTGATTGAGTAAGAGAGTCAGATTTCTTAAAAATTTCCACAAAGTCTCCCTGGCTCCTTTAAGGACATATGTCAAAATCAGAACAGACCTCTAAAGCCAAGATCAATGAAATATTCTTACTAGGTCAAGTCTGGGTCACATGCTCCTCACTGGTGGTGGAAGATTGCCCTTTTTTGGACCACGTAGGGTAAGAACATAGAAGTCAGTGGATTTCCAATAGCTGATAGAAAAAAAGGGAAAATACAGCTGTATGGTTGAAAGTGATAATTTCAACCACAGTCAATTACCACTGCTTTTATGAATTCTGAAATTCTAACACTGGCTACCACTTACAGTGAAGTTTTGAAAGAATATGATAGTTACTTTTCTAAAAAGATGCATCAGTAAATGACTTGGGCATTTATGGGTAGAAAATGAATGCTTATAACTTCTGAAAATTGTATAGTACTTTACTATACTTTACATACTGAATATTATCCTTTGAAACTTCAAATGCAGAAAGTAAACCCATTGTCAGAATTCTTTCTGGTTTTGCTTTTAAAAATAATTTTTGCTTTTACAAAATGAGGTATCTATGCCTGGAAAGAAATGAAAATCTGCTTCTCTTTATGGCTGTTGCTTCATGTTCACTGCCTCCATTGGTTTTCTTTACCTCTTTCAGGAACATGTTCAAGTGGAAACTAGACAGTTACAGTTCATTTATTAAAATGTTAATGGCACTTTCTATTTTCCACTTCAAGGAAGTTTGTAAAACACTTTAAAATGGAAGGCAATAGAATGAAGACCTGTGGAAGAGTACTGTAACTGAAACTATTCCTATGCACTGAAGGTTTTGGGGTTTTCACAAGAAATTTTCTTCTTAGTATTGTTTTCACAAGAAATTTTCCATTGAATCAGCAATTAACAGAACTAGAGTTTCAAACAATGTAAAAGGATAATTTAAAAAATCACAGCAATTGTGTACTAGTATTGAGATATTGTCAGCCTCCATAAACATGTTGTATCCCATTTTTTATTTAAAGGCAATGATTGATTCTATTTGTTAAGATTATTTTTGTTTCTTATTGCTTTAAAATATTCATATATTATGAGATCTAAAAGTTTACAAAAGAAAATACTCAAGTTGCTCCTAATTTTAAGTTTTGAAGCCACTGTGTTTAGGTCCCTGGGAAAAGCATTCAAATTGTAGTTGGTTCAAAAAATGAGCGGGTGCCTTTCAAATTTAGAGATCATGAACTAGACATAAGCAAATTGGTAACTCTGAATTAAAAGCTTATTTGCAAACTTTAGAAAATTAGACTTACAGAATTTTTTTTCACTACAGTGATGATTTCTTTGAGTCCCAGATTTTTTTTGAGTGTTTTTAATGAGAATATTTCCCATTTCTCCTCTAATTAAGCAGAATATTGGCTGTAAATTATTCATTTTCTTAGGAGTTTATTAACATTTCCCCCCTGCTTAAGTACTATACATTTAAAAAAATATTCAGTTGGGGATTGGTTATTATAAAAATTTATCAATAATACTTATTAAAAGTATTTGACATATCAGACATGGTGATAGTAAGTACTTTTAAAGTATTTCATGACATTTACTCTTTATATTTTAGCAGAAGAGAGGAAACTAAAAGTTAATTAAGTTCAGACAGGACCAGAATTTTCTTTCTTTTCTTTTTTAATTTTTTTAAAGATTTATTTATTTGTGCATACAGAACTGGGGTACAGGCCAGAGGCTCAGAGGTGGCCAGAAGCTTCATTAGAGACAGAGTGGGGAGCAGAACAGGCAGATCAACGAAGTACACTGCTGAGGGGAGCGGCGGGGGGGGTCAGGAGAGGTCTGCCAAGCCATGTGGTCACCTTTGGGGCAGGCGGGAATCGAACTCATGCAGAAGGCGGGGATCGAACTCATGCAGAAGTGGCTTTAGCTTCGCAGGGCTGTGCTTTAACCCACTGCGCCACCAGGGAGGGCCCCTACAGGACCAGAATTTAAACCTACCTACCAGGAGAACTGGAAAAAAAAAAATTCAAAGTAAACACAAATTGTTTGGCAAGAACCTTCACCACTGCTGTGAGGTAACCTACCTCTTGGCTACTCCTATCCATGCTGTATCTACACCTGTGGCTGTAACAAGAAACCATGAAAATATTAGGTAGTGCTCTCTCTGGAACAAAAAACAGGCTTTCCAATGGAGTCTTGTATTTTCAGTCTCTTATAATTGTTCCTTGCATTTAATGAGGGCTCTGTTTCTGTTTGATGCAAGAAGTCAAGGATAAAGATTGGGTTATTTAAAAAATAAATAGGAATAAATTCTCCAACTATCACATCTAAATGTGACCCTTGATTCTTTCAAAAACAAATTCTAGTCAAACCATTAAATCTGATAGATATGTTGTTTCTTAGAATCTGCTGTGTGCCTGGTGAATTCTAAAGCTTTATGTTGTTTACCCTCTGCAAAAACACTTTTAGGTAGGCAATATTGTCTTCATTTTACAAATGAGGGAACTGAGGTCTAGAAGCATTAAACAATTTGTCCAAGGTTCATAGCCAGTAAGCAATGGAGCCAGGCTCGGAAGGCAGCCTCTGGTTTAACATCCAGGCTTTCAATCACTTCAATCACTTCATTAGGAGGGCACTATATATATATTTTTGATAATAAATGGGAGCCTTTAATAGTGAGTTGCTGTTGGCATTCAGTTTTCACTAGAAATTTACAATGAACAAGACCTTGTAAAGAAAAGGGCTCTGTGGGTGCTTCTGTAACACCCATAAAATAAGTGTGGAAGATTGTCATGGAAGTAATTTATTGTATTAACTTTGCTTCCTTTGTACCTCATAGTTCTTATGGAAGTGGATTTACTTTGGCAAGAATCCGCACTACAAATACTATTCCAAGTCCTAATGCATTAAACCAAAGTCAAAACAGATGTCCAGATACTTTTATGGGTGACAAGAAAGGAACTGACTAAGGAGATCACTCTGGCTCTTTATTGTGATGCATATAAGGATGGTTGTTCCCTGGCGTCAGTTCATCAGTTATCTTAGTCCGTTTTCTCTCTCTAAGCACTGCGGAGCTTTCTCTTTTTCAGTTTCCCCAAGGGAAATCCTGGGGCTGTCGGTGTGGTATGTAAGAACAAAGAGAAAGGCAATTTAGTGAACAAAATGAAGTGAGAAAGAAATGATAGGGTCGAAATGATAGGGTCAAACAAAAGAAAAAACAAGCTGTTTCGGTAAGAGAATGTAAGTAATCCAAGCCAGCTGTTTCTTGCACCTTGTTCACTCCACGAGTCGCGCGCGGAGCTCCCGGGGTAACTAGGCAACGACGTTGCCCTGGTAACCTGGGAAGCGAGACTATAGGGCTCCAACCTGCTGGGCTGGGGGCAACCCTTGGTGCCCGGAACAGGCCTGCTGGGGGGAGGGGATGGGGTGCGCGGGGCTCTCGCGAGACTGCGTCGCCCCGCCGGCTGGCGTCCCCGCAGTTGCCCTTAGGGACGGTGGGCCGGAGCGGGAGCGAGGAGCGTCGTCATGGCTGCTCAGCGAGCAATGCCCGCCTCTCCCCTGAGGGTGCTGGAGGAAGCGTTGGGCAGCTTGACCGCTGCCGGGGATGCCGAAGAAGCGGTGACCGCCGAGGGCGCCTACTACCTGGAGCGTATCCTTCCCGCGTTGGGGTGGCCTGCGAGCGGCTGGCGGCGGACCGGGGTCTTGGCGTCGAGCGCGGGCTTCCTCCTCACGGCGCCCACGAGTTGTGGCCGAGGAGCCGAGACGCCGGGCGCACCTCGGGGTGACATGGGCGCCGCCACCACTTCCTGATGGTTACCCACTGAAATTTTCCCTTTTGAAAGGTTTTGGGCTTGTCTTTTCCTGTTGGATGAGTTGGAAAACCTTCAGGAGTCTCGTCCTTTCCACAGCTCAAACTTTGGAAGTTTTGTTAAGGCGGCGCAACAGATTGACTCAACCCTTCTTTCCTTAAGTGTCCCCCCCGGCCCTCCCCCACAATAACCGCAAAACCTTCAGAGGTTATTAAATGTGGAACGAATTAAATGTGGAGATTAGGGCAAGACTTCTGCCTTCGGACTTCATGAAGTCAAAGTTTAGGATACTCAAACCATGATCCTGCAGATGGTCCAACTGCCCAGTGCTTAAATTGGTAGTATTACCAATTGGTTAGTTTTAATATTGTTTATTTAATAATTTCCCTGTGCTCCCCTTCTCCCCTACCTACTCTTTTGAGCGAGGAATGGTGACCTGGTGAACTGACAAGACTCCAGTCTGTTAGAAACCGAGTTAGTGATGAGTGATTATCAGTGGAAGTACCCGAAGTACATACAGATAATGCCATTTACTATTTCTTGTATAAGACTTTAGAGCTCTCTGGCCATTTAGAGTAATTGTACTGGCGAGATGGGGAGGGGAGGTCATGAGAAAAAAGCTATCAACTGTTTTTCAAGCAGGTGGGAGAGAGATTTTTATGTTCTATTCTTAAAGATAACAGGCTCCAAAATCAGTCTTCTCTCTCTATGTCTGTCTCTATCCAACTGTAATCTCCCCATAGATTTAATTAATTCAAAGCTTCAGAGATCCAGCAATTATTTAATTTTGTGGAATTCGGCAAACTGATTAATCTGCCCTGTCTGAGGCTCAGTACTATATATACTACATAAACCTTTGAAAGACTTACTTGAAAAGACCAAAGAAAATATTTTTTGTTTGATACAAACATGAATTTTATAGGAATATAGTTTGAGTAGTTTGAAATCAATTTAAATGAAACATGTTGATGTTTTAGTGCCTCAAATGAGGGTTTATATTGTTTTCATAGCACTAACAACTTAAGTAGTAATTTCTTTTCTAAATTCCAAACCAGTAATCTTTAGAAGCTTATCTACATCAATTATAAAGTTATCCATTGTCCTTGCTGGTGAATGCAATCAGGCATTTTTATCGGCAGTATAAATGATTTCTTATGTTAACATAGTTGTTAACATAAGACAAACATAAGATCACTTTGCACACAGCAATGTGAAATAAACGGTGGACTCCAATATAGCACAACTTTCAGCAGTGAAAATCAAGCTTAGTTAATTTTCAGGGAAATCACTGACACTGCCACAACTGCCAACGTGTCAGTTTGCAAAAAACTTGTTTTGTGAAAACTTCGCTAAATCACATTTATAAATAAAGCAATGCTAACTTTTCATGATTTTATTATCCAGTTTGTAAATAATCTAACCTTTGCTTTTCTTCCATCTCTCTTTGGTTGACTGAATACTATTTTGGGCTTCAACCAAAGGGTAGTCAGGGGATCAAGAAACATTTAACCATTGAATTTTCCTACACTTAATTTTCAAGTAAGAGGTTTAGTCATGGGAGAGGCTTTAACTCTTAGTTAAAATGATGTTTGAGGATTACTTTTGGATGCCAATTATCCCACATCCCTGGGCACTCTTAACATGCATAATTAAGAGTTGGCTGTATAATGTTATTTGACATTGTTTCTTAAGGCAATTATGATAGTTGCTGAAGTGAGACTTTCTTGAGTCTTAAGTCATTAGGTATCAGGTAATTTAATTGAGTGATTGCAGTGGATAAATAAAAGTTATAATATGCAGAAATGAATTAGAAATTTGTTCTCTACTTTGCACATATACTTAATCACTTCTCATCTGCTGCATTTGGTTCTGGTCATCCCTTATTTATGTCTGAACATATGCTGGTAAAACACTAACCGCCAAGCTATCAGTATAAAGCAAGACTTTGAAAGAGGTTGCCTTGAATTATCCAGGAATCACCCCTTTCTTTGTGCCTAAACATGCATATGTAAAAGGCACAAGTAGACATATGTGGCCCTAACTAGAAACAGTCAGCATCCACCACAGAGAAATGGCTTCATCGGTAAATGTACAGTATTTATTTTGACAGTTCAAGAGTATGTGTTCAGGAGAAACAATTCTTACCTTGCAATACCCCTATCCACTGTAACCCCTTAATGTAATGGTGCCACCTATTTCTTTTCTAAGGAACTTCACCTTGCCATTGCCTTTGTTTGAAACTCTTTAGAGGTGACATACAAATACAAGGACATAGCTCTTAACTAAATTGTTTCTAGAGCTTTATGAAATCCAGTCAGAAAGTACATGAATCCTTAGGAGAACTCATATTTTGAAAGATACTTGAGCATCGAGAAATGTAAGGGTGGATTTTAAATGTGTGATCTGTAAAGATGACCCCAGAATTTGTAAAGAAGGCTTGTTTGTTGTGTTTTGCGAATGATGCTTCCATTAGAAATCAACACTACTTGGCTGAGGCTTTCATTTATTTATGTGTTGCTGTGGACATCAAGGAGTTCTGGCTCCAGTTGGTATATGCAGGCTGGAGTCAGTTGTAGTAAGAAAGCTACTGCTTTATTAGATTTTGTTTAGGAGTAATGGAAATCATGGACATTGGGAATGGGGAGTCCCCTAAGTATTGTTTTTATTGTCTGCCTCTCCCTGTCCTGGTTCTCTGATCTTCTGTTAGGCTGTTATTTAATCCTTGTGAACTTTTTAGATCCTGGATATACATTTCCTGGCCAATAAGACAGGTCTCCTCTGCCTCAGCAATAATTGTGAGGGTTGAATCAGTTTAAGTTATTCCTTTGAGACTAGTCAGCTCAGCACGTAGATCCAGAATCTACTATTTCTGAAAATACACTGTTCCTGTCTCTGAAATGTGCTCACACTAAATTTATAACCTATCTAAGGGGCATGCTTAAGTTCAGGCATAGCAGGTCTTTCAGTATAGTAGTCATGTTCACTGATTACTAACTTTAATTAAAATTGAACTTTGGTCATTTTTGCTTTTCATAATTTTCATTTTAAACATTCCAATGTTTTTTCTATTCCAAAATGTAATTTTTCTGGAATGTTTATAGTATTAAATAAGAAGGTATTTGTGAAATTACTCTAATAATCATTATGGGCTCAATGTATTTCTCATAACATTGGAAAACTGAATTTTTCAATGACTGCTTTGTTGCATCCTACACATATTTAAATTAAAAGGATGGCAAATGAAATGTATAAATTATAAAGAGTCAAGTCACTAAACTTGAATGATGAATTTTACATGCATGAAAGCCATAGGCTATTTGGAGAAAAAAGAAAATGTATTTTGTTCTGTGGTCTCTAGTCTAGGACATAGATTTAATGCACATACGAATCATCTAGGAACCTTTAAATGAAGATTCTAATTCATTAAGGCCAGGTCCCTGCTGAGATTCTGCATTGCTGGCATGCTCATGGTATTGCTGATGCTTTTGGTCTAAAGTCAGGAATCAGAATAGCAAGGTTCTAGAACAATATCAACATCTAGCTCATTTTAGTTTCAGAAAAAGGTATACTATGCAAATATCTTTCAAAATATCTTTGGATCTCCTGACTTAAAAGCTGGAGAAATTTAAACCACTCCCCACTAGGAGGACTACATGTCTTTTACATTGAAAGAAAGTTATTTTCCATCTTCTGAGGCAGAAGATTTGCCATAGTTGTCCAGGGCAAGGGTGGCCCTGGAATTTCCACTCTTGGCAATTTTCTTGAATTCTTAGTAGCTCGTTGGCAGGTGGTATTAATAAGAATTGTGAGACCCCATGAAGATTCAGTGAGAACAGCTACAGGAAGTCATCAGCAGTGAAAAAGTGGCAGCCAGCTTGCCAGTATTTGACATCTTTGGTGTATATTACTCAGTTAATGTACTTTATATAAACTGGCATTCTTAGGGAAGTGAACATGGCTGCTGTTTGCTGGTTAGAGTATTTTTCTTTTATTTCAATTTGCTAACTAAAATATTTGCCGTGGAGGATCCAGGCTGGATTTTAGATGCCTCTGTGAACATTGGCTCTGCAGTGATGGCAAAGATTACAGAGCAATTTCCATCTATAGTAGCTTTGGGAAATCATGTGAAATATAATTAGCTATATGTTTCACTCCAGTTCTTTATAAAGATGCTGCTGCTGCAGTGATCGCCACTTCTACAGCAGTGGAAGAGATCGCTGTGTGAGGAGTTCTGTGTGCAGCTCAGCTCCGAATAGTAGTTTTTGCTTCTGCCTGTTATCCATTTGTAGAACCTGTTTGTAACGTCATCATGCTAAACATCACCTCAAGTTGTGCTCCATGAGCTCACTTGAAATCATCTGAGACTTCTTAAGTTGTGTCTTTTATAGTACTGCCATGGATTTAGACTCCCTAGCAGTTTCAGTATGGGTATCTATTGGCCTACAGCCCTCACTGGATCTATGAGGTCAGTTCTGTTGGTTCAGAAATGGTCAGTCATTTCACCCACAGTGACAAGTAATGAGGAACTGATTCATACTATGCAAATTTGTAAGTCCTGTTAAATTCTTTGCATAGCAGGTGAAGATGTGGTGGGGTTAGGTCCTTGGTCTGAGTTGAGACAGACTAAAGGATACAGAATTTGGCATAGAAGTGGGTGGTGCTATGGACGGTCTGGCTGCAGACCAGAGAGAAGGGGAGCTGCACATAGCACCGAGCTCAGGAGCCAGCTAAGAAAGCAGGCAGCCTAAAAGGCAGTAACTGATGTGAGGGGAATAGACAGCAGTAGAAAAAAAAAGAATTTTGGAACTGAAGTTCAACAGTGCTCTTTGAAGGAATTCTAGACAGATAATGGGAGGGAAGTTTTTGCATCGGTTCAGGATCAGATTGGCATTAAGCAGGAATGTAAGCTGGAATGTGGTTTATTCTACAGTGAAAAAAGAGGTTTGCATGAGAACTCTGACTGTCTTAGTCTCTTGACATTAACTTGAAAATAGGATCACCTAGGAAATTAGATTACAGATGATGAAATTGGGTAGTATAAGTAGAACCAAAATGTTTTATCTTTTAGGCAATTATTGATGCATTGTCTAGTTGCACTCTGGCAGTATTGCTTCAGAAATACTGCTTTACAACCTTGTTCACACGTGGTGTTCCATCAGATCCTCATCACTCTGTCCTTCCTGTTCCAAGATCCAAGGGGATCAATATCTGTACAGTCCACAGTGTTCTTTTTGTGAGAACCTTAGAGTGTAATTTCTCTCAGGCTTTGGAACCAGAAGTTGCTGTACGTTTGCTGAGAAACTCATCTATTTTCATCGGATGGACACTGAGTTTGTATCTAATTACATTTCCCTCTTTATCCTGACTGCTGGGCCACTTAGAGTGAAATCTGTGATTTATCTTTCATAAAGCTCTTGATACCTTGTGGCATGAATTACATCTTTACCTTGATCTTGTGTTTGGTATTTCCCTTTTTCTTCTAATTTCCATATTCATTCATTTTAATATTTTACAGTGTTTGCATATTTATAAATGGCCACAGAATCATTTTGGGATTCATTTGTGCTTTTGTCCATGTGTTGCAGGCTAAGTAGCCAGATAGACAGATGCATTCAAACATACATGCCAAAGTACATTTATTTCTTCAGAAACACTACAGCATCACATTTGAACTGGCTTGCTCCTGGGAAAATTTTCTGAACAAATCATATCGTGAAAACTAAAAGTATCAGTCAAAGAGCGTGTTGGTTTCTATTTTTATGTTTTCTTCTTCAGCTTTTGTCTCCCTAAACTCTTGCTCTCCATTCATTTAACTTTTGAATCTGTAGACCTGTATTCTTTTTATTCTTTTTTCCCTCCCTTCTCAGTTCTTCAAATTGAGCTCTTGAGGTGCTTTTTATTGAGCTACTGGTAGTATAACACTTGAGACTTTGGAAAATATATGAGAGTTCATTAGTATATTGGTAAAAATATACCAATTACATGTTCTTATGTCACTGTTGAAATAGTTGATTTTAGTAGAATATCTGTGACCTTTGTATCACATACTCATCGCTGACTTTTTTTAAATTTAGAGATGACTATATCTATGCCATTCAGTGTCGTAGTAAAATAAATACTGCTATGCTCCATGTGACAGTATTTTTTAAGCTTTATGAAGTCTTTTTTACTTTAATGTTTTTGATAGTGAGGAAGTAATGCATTAACTAAGTTATTTTAGCTGCTGCTATCAATATTTTCTGAGGTGCACTAGACAGTGTTGTTTGGTATTTTTAAAGTTTTCAGGACAAATCCCTCTTCTTTCATATATTGCCATAATTACCAACCTAGTTTTGATATTCTATTTTTTAAGGTTTATTTATTTATGCATATAGAACTGGGGTGCATGCCAGAGGTGTGGGGGGTATGAGGATTCACCAGAGACAGAGTAGGGAGCAGAACAGGCAGATTGAGTGAAATACACTGCTGGGGGACCACTGGGGAGGTCAGGAGAGGTCTATTGTGCCTTGTGGGTCACTTCCCTGATCGGGGGTTGAACTTGTGCTGTAGTGACCGTGGATAGTCCCACATTGCTGCGCTTCAACCCGTAGCGCTACCAGAGAGGGCCCATATTTTGTCTTCACAGTATATTCTCAGTTGACTTATAATCTCCTGTGATATCCAAACTTTGAGAATATTTACTTTTTTGTTAAATTTATTGTGAGAATAGCGATGAAGGATGGTATTGTTTCCTTAAGACTTCAAGACAAGGGACTACTTGTTGATTCTTCAACTTCTACTAGCTGTCTTGTAGAAGGGGGCATCCATTTCTATAGAAAAGAGAACCTGAAAACTTCCTGTAACTGAGGAAATTTTATCTCATTAGGTGAAAATATACAAATCTAGAAAAATATAAATCTAGAAAAGGAGCAATATTTAGAATGTTCTTTATTTTTTTATCTATGGCATGTTAGGGAACTAAGCCACAAGAGACTTATGAGACCTCTCCCTCCAAAAGTACTCTCTTTTTGGAAATAATAACAAGTACTTGTTTAGCATTTATTGTAAGCCAAGCATCATTTGATATTATTTACATATATTAACTCTTTTAACATTCTTGAAACTCTGTAAGGCATTATAGTAAGCAGCCTCCATTTTGAGGCCCACCAAAATGATTCCCGCTTCCTGATATTCATGTTCTTGTCTGGACCCTTTCCATACTCAGTAGGTGACCTATGTAGCCGATAGAATATTGAATAAATAAGTATAGGTATGTTTTGAAACTTGACCTTGAAACATTGTGACTTCCACTTTGTTTTCTTAGATTGCTTATATTTTGGTTATTAGTCACTATATGAGGATGCTTGAGAAACCTATGTTTAAGGTTCTTGTGGGAAGGAATTGAAATCTTCAGTGAGCTTCTTTGGAAGTGGATCCTGTTTGTGTGTCTAAGTATGCAGATGACAGCCATTCTCGCTGCCGTCTTGGCTAAGACATCATTAGAGATTCTAATGTATAGTCTTCCAACTAAGACTTTTCTTAACCGCAAAAATTATGCTTTTGTTCTTTTAAGCCCAGCATTTTAGGAAGTTTGTTAAGTAGTAATTTAAAAAAGTACAAATTTTGGTATGTGGATATGGTATTTAATATAAGACCTGCATTAGAATATTGGAGTGGCTTTGCAGTTGAGCATGTAGCAGATGTTGGGAGTACTTTCAGTAGGATCTTAGTGAAATACTCGAGCAGATCACTTACTAGGAGAGGCTTGAAGGCCTTTAAGGATCTGTTGGCAAGAAGATTAAAGGAGAGTGACGCAAATGCTATTGGATAAGATGCCATAGTTGTGACTAGTATGGGTAGGCACTTCACTCCATACTCAATATGGATAGTTCAATGTTGTGGGAGGGATAGCAGATATGGTTTTGTGGTTGTCTAGTTCTCCTTTAAATAGTTATGTTTTTAACCTAAATTACATTTCATCAAATTATTAGGGACATTTGTGTTTAGCAATAAATAAAATACTGGCCTTTTGACTGATACCTGGCTTCTGAGAAATGGTCAGAGCTGGATTAGTCTTAAATGTCTCCTCAAGTGATAAGACAGTGAAGTGTTAACTGATTATCATGGTGTGAGTAACAATAATTATTACCTATTTTTCAGAGGTTTAGTACGGTGTGGAAGATCATCAACAAACCATTTACATAATTGAGAAAACCCATATGGGATAATAGAGTCAAACTTGAAATTCTGGGTCTCTTCCTATTATGTAGGTTTTAACTGTGTAACCTTGTGTCTTTGAGTCCTGACTGTAAAACAGAGATAATAGTTCTAGCCTTGTAGGTAGGATGAGGATAAAATGAATTGATACATTTAAAACCCTTATGGCAGTACCTATGGCCTATCTCCTATTAAATGCTAAGTAAGTGTTACATTATATTCTCAGAAGAAAGAATAACAGTTTCTTATAACTAGCAACAAAATGAAAGCTAGGCTAATCTCATCTTTGATATCTGTAAATTTTGTGGTGCATAAAAGTATTTAATTTCATACCTTTTAAACTTGGTAGAGCAGGTGTCTGCATTTGAAAAACCTACCAAGTAGCAAAAGAAAATAGAATTACTTGTTTGTGTTGACTTCTCCTATTGTGAAATGCTATATTGAAGTTTTCATTTGTAATTAGAATAGCTTGTAATTTTTGAAAGGCATAGTAGTGCTCTTAGAACCTTTTATTAGATTATTTCCATTAATTTTTGATCCTTCAGTTTTGGTAATTTATAAACCACTGATTGTTATTTTTATGTAGTTTATATATGCTTAAAATTCAACTCTTTCCTGAGAAGATAATTTTAAAATTGAGCCATCTATGATAAAAAACATAAATTTTAATAATCTTTATTGAACATATTGAAATGTATTTTTGCTTACATTTAAGTATTGTGATTAATAGTATCTCAGATATAGATGTCACACGTATTGTGACGTACTGACTCAGGAGCTCTGGAACATTTGGTGCAGTTTTGCATAAACTTAAAATTTACTTCCATAGATTTTTAAGATTTCTTTATGCATACAAGAGCTGGAGTGAGGCCAGAGTTGTGGGGGAGGTGAGAGGATTCACCAGAGTCAGAGTGGGGAGCAGAACAGGCAGATATACTGAAATACACTACTGAGGGGAGCAGTGGGTGAAACAGAAGATATCTGCTGTGCCATGTGGTCAGCCCCCTGGCCTGCTGGGGATTGAACTCATGTCATAGATTATAAAATATATATACATTTTTTCAATTGAACTGCCATTATTTTATGTTCTTGTTCTACCCCACACCCCCCAATAAAGGATTTCTCCCATTGGGTAAGGCCACCATAGTTTTCCCATGACCAAATCACATATAATCCTCTACCACAGTCCATTGTATCCATCCCCTCCCTCCTTTTTCTCCCTCTTCCTGTCCTTCTCCTTCCTCCTTTCCTTCTGGATGCTACAGTATGTCATCTCTTTCATAGTCATCATATTTTCCTCTTGTTTGCATTTTATTATATTATGCATGTCTTTGTCTTTTTAGAATCAGTTGGAAGACGTTTGATAGTAAGCAGACAGAGAGATATAAATGTGCTTTTTCCCGAGTTTGGGTTGCATAGAAAATAGTTTTAAATAAGAGTTAAAATATTTTGTTTTAAACATTGTAAACTGTATGAGGAAAAGAAAAATTTTAAAAAGAGATTACATTGCATGTTCTTTACCATCATCTACCATGAGGTGACTGGATCTAATACTGTATTTTCAGATCAAAACAGTTTTAGAAATAAGTTTTTTGTTCTGTATAGTTTGAAATTAAAACTTGACAAGATATTCAGAGGTCACAATAACTGAAGCATCTGAAGATGATTATGAATATGAAGAGGTAATTTGTTCATTTTTGGCATTTTGTAAATTCATTACAGTTATCCTTATAGTCATTTTATTTAGTTTTTGTATTTGTTTTTCCTCTTGAGAAATGGTTGATTTATAAACTGAATTTAGGTAATACCAGTGGGTTAAGAGTGAGGCATAAAAGTTCTTTTAGGAGTTTATGTTGTTAATTATGTGGCTCTTTTGAATTTCCTGTAGCTACCCTTCAGGGTCTGCTCCTTAGCACCTGCCCCATAGCCCATGCTACATCTCTGGCCAGCAGGCATTCCCTGTCATCCACATGTCATCCCAGGTTGCCCCTACTGAGCTGGAGCTCAGATCCTCTGCTTTCCAGCTCAACTAGGTCTAGTATGGTTCCTGTCTCAAGCCTTTCCTTTAATTCACTGTTCTGATGGGTCCTGTCATTATGACTCCTGAGACTCGTAGGAATAGTGTCACTTTTAGATAACAGAAGCTGCAAATGAAGCTGTAGAAAGAAGCCTGGGCAGGTAAGTGACAGGACTCAGAAGATAGACTTTTATTATCACTGAGGTAAAATAGAGATTATATGTATCACTGAAACTGCTGAATGCGTTCATCATGTAGAGGTTTAAAACTGCATGACCCATAAAAAGCATGGAGTAAGTGTTAACTATCACAGATATCATGATTAGGTTTGATTGCATTTTACCAAGGGTTTAACGTTCAGGCAGGGAGTTTTATTTTCTTTAGTTTTTTTTTTTTTTTTTAAACTAGAGATTTGTAGTTGCTGGCAGTTTTGTTTTATAAAAACTAAAATGGTGGAGAAACTCTGAGATGAGGAGAGAGTGGTGGCATTTTCTTGTTAATCATTCGGTGTGTGACATGTAACCTGTTGTGCTACATAGAAAATACCAGATTTGGAAGGAGATGTAGGGAATAAAAAGTCCACTCTTGAGTTTCTGTCGATAAAAATAGATTGCCCATCCAAAGGCCAGTAGGTTTACTAAGTTCTTGCTAATGATAATAAAATGAATACATTCTGGAGACAGTGGTGCTGTTGAATTCTTAAGAGTCTGCCCATTCCTTGATGTACTTTATATGCTGATTTATGTGGCATGGTGGTTTTTTGTAGGTGTCCTAGTTTTATATCTCAATTGATGAAATGTCTCTTGTTTTTCTAATTTTTGAGTTTATAACTGTATTCTCTCAAGGATCATATAGTGTATAATTGCAGCTTTGGGAGCTGTATGGTCTCTGTTGCAACTACAAACTCTTGTAGCATAAAGCAGCCATTGACAATAAGTTAACAACGGACATGATTATGTTCTGATAACCTGTATTTGCCATTGATTTATTTGTTAGACTTTACTACCATATGAAACAGTGCAACACCCTCTATGGCATCTTATTTTTTTCATAGTAGTTTTGTTTTATAAAAACTAAAATGGTGGAGAAACTCTGAGATGAGGAGAGAGTGGTGGCATTTAGATGACCTAACTTTATTTTTTTAGCAGAGTTTAGACATTTGTCATTTTAGATAAAAGCAGTTGCCTATAATCTAATCTCAGGTTTATTAGAATGATTTATGGCCTATAAGCTAATCTCAGGTTTGTTGAATGATGTTTATAAGGAAGCTACTTAGTTTCTAGTTTTTCATTTTTCATAGATCTTCAGCATCACATTGTAGCTTACAGAAAGTAAATTCCTTTGCTTCTTTGTTTTGTGAAGAAAGTTATTTATGAAATGAAATAAGATATTTTTATATTCTTGCTTACTCTTCCCATATCTCTTTTTTTCCCCCTTTGATTTAGATACCAGATGACAATTTTAGCATTCCAGAAGGTGAAGAAGATTTGGTAAAAGCATTTCAGATGGTCCAAGAACAGGCTATAGACACTCAGCTTTTGGTGAGAATTTTGAATGTGACTGTTTAGCAGTGATACCTTATATTTGAAAATGTGACTCATTTAAATTTTAAGTGTGCGCCTTACTTACTGCAGTAATATCACCTGCTTTCTTTTCACACCTATTTATCATTAAATCGTCATTTTAAGTAAGTAGTTATTTTTATTCTTCTTTTTATTGTCATTTTAACATCATGATTATTCTTACATTACTTTGCAATAAGTGACATCTTTCGTCAGAATTCTACCTGACTTGTTAAACCAAGAATTCACAGTGCTCACGTACATGGTATAATATTCAAATTCTGTATTTCATTTGTATTGATTTTTGGTAAAGTAGTGAAACCTAACACAGATCTTGGCACATAGCAAGTACTAAATGAATAACAGTTGAGTAAGTGAATATGTAAATATATCGTTGATTGAAAAAATTATTATCCAAACTTGTGTGTATTATCATACTAGAAGGTAAATCAAAAGTTGGATTCAAGGATAGTTGGGGGAAAAACATAGTATAGAAACTATTATATCAAACGAACCAAATGTCAGCAATTTTTCATCACTTCTTAAAAACTGTCTTTTACCATAATCTTCCAAGAGTTAACTTCTATGTTTGTTATATTTGTAACTGGTTGACTGTCAACAAGACTTTAATTTTTTTGTATTGTGTCTTTAGTTCTTTAGAGAAACAGCACTATGTAGAAAATTCAAGAGTTTGCCTTTAAGCTTTTAAAATTAAATATGAATTCATTTTATGATACGAATATTAACTACCTATTTCTATTTATTTTATTTCTAAATTATCTTGTTTTAAAATACTAGCTTTGTTTTTTGCCTTGGGCTTTCTGTTTTAAAGCCTTTTATATTGCTTATGAAAGCAATTTCCACTTGTTATGTTCTTAATACATCTGTTTATAAACAAGAAATATTTTCTTCTATGTTAGAGGATCCAGTAGTCTCTAGTAAGATCTTTAAGCATTTTCATTAAAGTTTGCAGGTAAATATAAGGCCATCATACTATTAGGGAAATTGAACATAGCTGACAAATTGTTAAAATTATTTGATGTAGTTGAAATAAATGAAAAGTTGAAAGTTGGAAGTAATATAAATACTTGTTAAGAAATTAACAGACTATTATAAAATTGACATTTAAATAAATTCTCATTATTTTCTTTAAAAATTGGTGATATAGTTGGGAAAAAATGAGAATACTTTAAATTGTGTATTTGATACAATATAACTTTCCTTAGCAGGTTCAGTGGTCCTGCACTCTGAAATAAAACATGGTTTTACTTCCACATTGAAAATGATTAGTGAAAACCAATTAAGATCAGAATTGTAACAAAGGATTAATTCAGTTATACTCAAGTTTCTTAAGTTTGAACTTTTTTTTTTTTTTTAAGGATAGGTACAAGTAGGAATAGAAATACAAAACAAACACACATGCTGAGATATATTCCCAGGAATTATTAGTAAATCATTTCATTAAAAAAGTCTCTTGCAGTTATGCCTGGGTTTCCCTTCTAAGCTAAGCTTTCTTAGTAATGCTGGTATACCAACAACATTTACATGTATGTTTTTTTTTTTAAAGATTTATTTATTTGTGCATACAGAATTGGGGTACAGGCCAGAGACTCAGGGGTGGCGAAGACTTCACCAGAGACAGCGTGGGGAGCAGAATAGGCAGATCGACCAAGTACACTGCTGAGGGGAGCAGCGGGCGGGTCAGGAGAGGTCTGCCACACCATGTGGTCACCTCCGGGGCAGGCGGGAATCGAACTCATGCGGAAGTGGTTTCAGCTTCTTAGTGCAATGCTTTAACCTGCTGTGCCACAAGGGAGGGCCTACATGTATGTTATTTTTAATGTTCTATAGCTACTAGTAATTTAACATCAGTGTTAAATTACAAATAGAACTTTTGAAAAGAAATTTTGGGTTAACAAGGACTTTCTTCATCAGCCTTTTCTTGTTAATCATTCGGTGTGTGACATGTAACCTGTTGTGCTACATAGAAAATACCAGATTTGGAAGGAGATGTAGGGAATAAAAAGTCCACTCTTGAGTTTCTGTCGATAAAAATAGATTGCCCATCCAAAGGCCAGTAGGTTTACTAAGTTCTTGCTAATGATAATAAAATGAATACATTCTGGAGACAGTGGTGCTGTTGAATTCTTAAGAGTCTGCCCATTCCTTGATGTACTTTATATGCTGATTTATGTGGCATGGTGGTTTTTTGTAGGTGTCCTAGTTTTATATCTCAATTGATGAAATGTCTCTTGTTTTTCTAATTTTTGAGTTTATAACTGTATTCTCTCAAGGATCATATAGTGTATAATTGCAGCTTTGGGAGCTGTATGGTCTCTGTTGCAACTACAAACTCTTGTAGCATAAAGCAGCCATTGACAATAAGTTAACAACGGACATGATTATGTTCTGATAACCTGTATTTGCCATTGATTTATTTGTTAGACTTTACTACCATATGAAACAGTGCAACACCCTCTATGGCATCTTATTTTTTTCATAGTATTTATCAAAATAAAGCCACTAAACTTGTTATAGTTCTCTTAACAATGATATTTTATTAAACAATTTAAAAGTCCTTATATTTTTAAACTTAAATTCTCTGGAAAGGGCAAGCTAACCTCTTTAGTGTCCAGTTTAATCACACTTTTGCCTTGGGGGGGGGTACTTAGTACCTGCCTCTGCTACATCTTAAAAAAAAAATGTATAAAAAGAGTGGTCTAAAAGTGGAAATAAATGAAAAAAAAATCAGTATTGTGGAAAGTTAGGAAGGGTTTTTATAGTCTGTTTTTTAACACATTTTTCCCACCACCATTTCTTCTATGTTCTTATCCCTTCCCCTCTCTTTTCATCTCAGATCCCTTTAGCTCATATCCTTCAGATATTTACTGGTGTCCGGTGTTTCATTTGCTTATTTTTTTTAAAGATTTATTTATGTATAACAGATTTGGGATACAGGCCAGAGGTGCAGGGGTGGTGAGGGCTTCTCTGGAGATAGAGTGGGGAGCAAAACAGGCAGATCTATGAAGTATACTGCTAAGGGAGCAGCGGGCCGGTCAGGAGAATTCTGCTGTGCCATGTGGATCATCTCCCTGGCTGGGGATCAATCTCACACTGAAGTGGCTGCAGCTCGCTTGCAGTGCTGTGTCCTAACCCCTTGCGTCATCAGGGAGTGCCCTATTTGTTTAAGTATTTTATGTTACTGTTCTGTTTATATATATGCCTGCTATAAGTGTGTCCAAGATTTATTTTAGTCATTCTGACTTACAGTACTATACATAATTCTCAACCCCCCTCCATTTTGTGGAAAAATGACTGCATTTCACTCTTCTTTATGATTGCATAGTACTCCACATTATGGTTATACTGTGCCTTCCTGATCCAGTTGTTCATTATTGGACATTTTGACTTTTTATGCCTAAGTTGTAAGTAGTCTATGAGCATTGTGGAGCCTGTGCATTTTGTGTTGGTTGTTTCAAATTCTTTGTTTTTGTGCCAAGAGTAGAATTAGTGAGTCATGTGGTATTTCCCAGTTTTTATGTTATAAGCTAAATCCAGATTGCTTCCATATTGGTTTCATCAGTTTACATTCTCACGAACTGTGTAATAGCCTTCCTTTTTCTCTGTATCCTCTCTAACACTTGTGAGTAGTCTTACTAATATGTGCTGTTATCATGGACACAAGGTCTACTTAGCTTCTTAGATTTATACTCAGATGTCACTTTATCAGTGAAATCCTCCCCCATCATAGTACTGTCATAGGAGTTCAGTTACATACACATATTTACTCTATATCTGACTCCTTACATAGCTATTAGCTAAGAGGACTAAATCTTTGTCTTTTTCATCACTACTTTATCTATACATGTCTCAAAGATGAACTCCTGAAACTTATGAAATGTTATAATTCAGTGTATTCATCACTATTTGTTGTCTTCAAATTACATATATAATTATACATTTAAATTTCAGGAGCAGAAAACAGTTCTACCTTCAAAGCCTGCAGTACCTGAAGTAATAGAAGATTTCCTTTGCAATTTCCTGATCAAAATGGGAATGACCAGAACTCTTGAGTGCTTTCAGTCTGAATGGTAAACAGTTTTGCAGACAAGTAATAATGTAGAAATGCTAGCATT